GTTTTTGTATTCTTTTGCGATTATTCTTCAGAAACAAAGATATTTTTATTATTATTATTCTGAAGTGTCAATTCCGTTTTTAAGTCAAATATATAAAATACTAGCGAACCTCACCAGCTCCGCACGGGTGCAATGCTGATACTAAATATAAATTCATCCACCGGAAATAAAAGGGCATGGAGAAACAGTGATGAATAGATAATTTTGTTTGATGTAATTTTCATATGTAAACGCGCCCTTTTTATCCCCACGGGGGCTCCACAGTTGAAATATTAGAAGATTCTTTCTTGGTGCGCATCCAAGACCTAAAAAGCAACTATAAACCAAATTTTAGCTTTCTAGGATTTAATGGCTGAATGTCAACTAGCATGAAATTCATAATAGGAAAATTAAAAATATTTTACGTAAGTGGCCTCTATTAACTGCATGTGACTTAAAGCTATCTATATGTATCTCATTGTCAGTGGCATATACCAATAACCTTGGGGTGGAACAATGACACTCCCAAGACCTAGACACGATTACTCTTTCCGTTGGAAGTATCAATGTATGAATATGACTTTTGAGATTGATTTTGTTACATGTTCATAGAAGTCTATGAATGAAATTTCACACGTGATCGGGTTGTATTGACACATAGGAACAGAAAATATCTCTATTTCTCTCCACACCGTGGGGTAAGTGATATTTGGGTCCGAAAATCATGTGCCCTGAGCAAGCGCAGTGAGCCAAGAATGACAGCCTACTGCATCTGTGCGGCTGAGATGTCTGCCTTAGTGCGGCAAGCAGGTATGATTTCAAGATTCGAGAGTAGAGAGGACTCCAAAAATCAGAACCATCTTGACAGAAAGGTCTGGATAGATATTTTATCCGTTTTTCCTTCTTTTATTAGCTTGTACGGGGTCTAATGGTGGGGAACGAATACTTCCAATAAATTCGGCACTTCTCTATACCCATCTCACGACTGCGATAGACTAAGGTGTTGAACACACCATCCTGGCAAGCCATGATGAATCCCTAAGTTTGCGACTTCAGCCCACTCGACCTGAGGAAAGCGAAAGTCAGGCGCTATGATAAGCCAAGGTCTTCAATGTTATTGAAGAAGACTCCCATGTATTGGCTCATCCTTGTGTTTCCGCAGAAGTGAGGTGATCTCTGCGGCTTTTATATGAGCTTTTTGTTGAACGGGTTCCAACTCGGTGACAGAGTTGTGGTCACCTCGTTCAGTGTCGAAAACAAAACCGAGATCATCACCTGCTCGGGCAGCTGCTCTGAAGAGAAATGCTACAAATCCTGCTCTCTCATGCTCACAGGAGATCCGAACTCCTGACGACTTTACAGGCTATGTCCAAGACCATTCTGTCATGTAGACACTCCAAACTCAAAAGTCCATGGCCTCCCTGTTGTCGAAGGAAGTACAACTATGGGACGGACGTCCTCGCATCGTCCTCTTTTGAGATGGACCATTGCACATTTGTCTATCCCGAATTTCATACCGATAGCATGTGTGTACTCTTCCACCACCCTCAAGGACTGATGGAGATCCTTCTCTCCAGAGGCATGAAGTTCAAGTTTTATTATTTTTTTTTTCACCGTAGTGTGCGCAGGTCAGGCCCTATCCCACGAAGCCCCGATACATTCGAGAGGGCGCGCCAGCATTATCAACCAATGACTACTCCCCACACCGTGGGGTGAGTGATAATTGGCTCCGAGAATCATGTGCCCTGAGCAAGCGGTGTGAGCCAAGAATGACAGTCTTCTGCATCTGTGCGGCTAAGATTTCTGCCTCAGTGCGGCAAGCAAGAGAAGACATCATTCCACCAAGGACTACAATAATCAGAACAACCTTCTTGGCAGAGTGATCTGGATAGAGTCTACAGAGTTCTAAGAGAAAATCTCGATATTTTATCCGTTTCTCCTTCTCTTTTCTGACGATATTCGTCTCGCCAGGAGCTGAAAACTCCACGACAAATATCGTTTCGGTCTGGTGGTCGAGAAGGACTACATCAGGCTTATTAGCTTGTATGAGCCTGAGGGTGAGGAACGAATAGTTCCAATATATTCGGCACTTCTTGTTTCCCACAACGGATTCAATATCCCCCGGAGCGTAGGGCAACACCGGTGTCTCGTCAATACCGTGAGAGTGCCATAGAAGGTAATATAGCACTCTTAGGGCCGCGTTATGTCGATGGATATAGGCCGAGACCGCATATGCTGGACATGCTGAAGAAGACTCCATGCATTGGCTTATCCTTGTGTCTCCGCAGAAGTGAAGTGATCTCTGCGGCTTTTATCTGAGCTTTTTGCTGAACGGGTTCCAACTCGGTGACAGAGTTGTGGTCACCTCGTTCAGAGTCGAAAAAAATACCGAGTTCATAAGCTGCTCGGGCAGCTGGCCTAAGGAGAAATGCTCCAATTCTTGCTCTCTCATGGTCACGGACCATGCAGAGAAGGGGATCCGAACTCCTAACGACTTTACAGGCTGTATCCAGTACCATTCTGTCATGTAGGCACTCCAAACTCAAAAGTCCACGGCCTCCGTGTTGTCGTGGGAAGTACAACCGTGGAACGGACGATTTGGGATGCAAACTCCTAAACAGATGCATCATTTTTCGGGTATTCACTTCGAGTTGATACAGCTTCTCCCGAGTCCACTTCACTACTCCAAACGAGTAGAGTAAAATTGGAACGGCAAGCATATTTGTTGCAGCAACTTTGTTCTTCCCCGACAGTTCCGATGACCAGATCTGTCGAAGTTTGTGCTGATACTTGCCGCAGAAAGAGTTTTTCACTGATGTTACCTCTTGTGAGTGGCGTTGTTCCATCCCGAGGTAAATATACGTCTCTCCTGCATCCAGATGGTGTATAGGATGCTTCCATCTACGAGCTGCACATTCTCTCCGTAGTCCCCGCATCGTCCTCTTTTGAGATGGACCATTGCACATTTGTCTATCCCGAATTTCATATCGATAGCATGCGTGTACTTTTCCACCACTCTCAAGGACTGATGGAGATCCTTCTCTCCAGAGGCATAAAGTTCAAGATCATCCATCTAAAACAGATGGGTGACCTTGTGCCTCCGGTTTCCGGGGGTGCCACATTTATACCCTCGAGTATTTCTGAGCGCAACAAATAATGGCAATAGTGAGATGCAGAAGAGAAGGGAACTTAGGGAATCACCCTGAAATACACCCCTTCTGAAAGTGACCCACCCTGTTTAGACTCTTGCTTGACCAGATGTTATGGTGAAGCGAGTTCGCCAAAGTGGTATCAGTTGTTCAATGCATCTCACTTTGTTGTCGGGCATCGCAAGGCATCTGAGCAAATGCAAGATGAGCTCATGCGAAATTGTATCAAATGCCTTACGGTAATCGATCCAGGCCATAGAGAGGTTACGCTTATATTGTATCTAGTCCTGCGTTACATATCTATCGATGAGCAGGTTCTTTTTACTTCCAGCGACTCCTCTCTTCGACCCTCTCTGCTCGTATATATGTTCGAACACACGGTCAACATTCATTATTATTATTAATATTTTCGCTGTAGTGTGCGCTGGTCAGGCCCTATCCCCCGAAGCCCCGATACATTCGGGAGGGCGCGCCAGCATTATCAACCAATGACCACTCCCCACACCGTAGGGTAAGTGATCATTGTGTCTGAGAATCTCATGTGCCCTGAGCAAGCTCAGTGAGCCAAGAATGACAACCTTCTGCATCTGTGCGGCTAAGATTTCTGCCTTAGTGCGGCAAGCCGTTGTGATTTTAAGATTCGAGAGTAATGAGGGCATCATTCCACCAAGGACTCCAATAATCAGATAATCAGAACAACTATCTTGACAGAGTGGTCTGGAGAGATTCTGCGGAGTTCGAAGAGAAAATCTCGATATTTTATCCGTTTTTCCTCCTCTTTTCGGACGATATTCGTCCGTTATTATTAGTATTACTATTATCATTATTATCATACTGTGAATTGAATCGAATTGAACACATATAACAAAATTTACTATGTAGGTTCAACATATTTCATTCATTTGAAAAATGTTCACCAACAAATGAATAAATTATTCTTTTTTTGTTAATGTAATTTGTAATTTGAACACAATACAATAACTTAACTAAACACGTATTTCTGCTATTGCTCTTGCAAACTTGAATAATATTTTCTCAACTGAGAAATATTTTCTTAACGATTTGAAAAACATGGGAGCATTTTTATAAATGGAAGAAAGAATTCTACATCGTTATTACTTCGCTAATGAATATACTGTCAATGTATACAAGAACTGAAATATATGAGAACTTTTCGATTATGGCGATAAAAGTTGAAATCAAATTACAAAACTTTTTGTTTGATTCAGTAATATAGATGCCGAGTTACGGCCATAATTACTGGTCACTTGCGAAGCATCAAATTACTCAACAGTTTAATCAGTAGAATTAGGAATCTCTGCCATGAAATGAATTTATTGAAAACACTTTTCCATCACTAGAACAAAAATGCGAATTAAGTCAGATTCAGTCATTCTCTGATGATGCCAACTTGGTTAGCGAAACGCGCGTCAAGAGGCAGCATTTATGTTCTGGTGAGGAAAAAAGTGTTCAAAATAGATACTTTCAAGTTTATTACAATAACTAACTATTTCTAAGGAGTATTCCTCAGATGAGTTTTTGTGAAGCCTGTGCAAATTGAACAAAAATACACTGTTATATCAAGACGTTCAACTATATGTACGCTTGAATGAGAATCTCTTTATTATTTAGGATGAATTTGTATAAATTTCATTTTCTTATCCCAAAAACTTTCTTCGAAATGGAGAGAAAAGAGAAAATAAGCAAGGTAAAATCACAAAATTATAATTACGCACCTTGCCATTAAAAAATTAGAAATCTAAACCTATACATAATTATCCTCAACATTTCTAATGTGATGCAAACTACTTATATCTGCAAAAAAGTTGCACCTTCAAAAATGTGAAAATTTTCATATAAATATGTTTTTACCATCAGGAAAATCACGTTATATATCCAACACGTCTTCGAAAAAACTTTTGAAATATCACACACACCACACACTATTATTTTACAATTTTTATAAACATTGCATTCACCACTACTTAATCGAGCAGTTACTATCACCAGTACTACCGCGATACTACCTCAACAGGTACATCGTAAGCACTATTTAGTCATTCCAACATAGGCGAGATTGCAAAACCGAATCATCGACTACTCTCGAAAGTCCAGATCGGTTCAATATTAAACTATGCTAAATAAATTAATTATGTTTCTACAGTGTTTGAAACTAAATTTCAATTATGGTAGCAAGCTCATCCTCAATTATTGTGTTGCATCTGATACGTTTTTTATAACTTCTGAAATATTGTTCTAGAAAATCACGGTAACTTTAGAGAGAACGGTATAATTCCTTTTCAAACTTATCCGCGTTTCCAACTGCCCGCACTCTCAAAAATAAATCCAGGTCAATAGAGAATCTGGGCGAATGCGATAAAGGGCTGGGAAGCCCACTTCAGAAAGTTACCTTGTTATATGAACATCTGAAAAAAATATTTGAAATACATTGAATCAATTATTTCCTATGGGATCATATTTTAGGGCTCTTCATCAAGCTCACGAATAATTTTCGTAATATAAAAAAATTATAAGATGTATATTAAGATTGGATCGTAATACTTCAAGTAGGACATACTTTTCTGAACTTAACATTTTGACAGTGCCTTCATTGTATTTTCGGGCCCTTGTCAACTTTCTAAAGAAGTATCCCCATCTGTTTCCCAAAAACGTTGATCAATATTCTGCAAATATGAACCTCAACACTAGGCATCGAAAAACCATATACCTCACTACCTCAATTATTGAAAGATATTAATAATAGGGGAGCCCACGATGCAAAATGGGGATTTACTCGAGCGTCATAGAGACATATTTGGTTGCAAAGCTTGGATGATAAGAAGAAAAGAATGTTATATAATATATACCTTTTCATCGGTGGGGAAAGCGTCTATAGATATTTAAATATGTATGTGAAAAAATACTGTTGCATGGATATAATCGAGCGCGTCAGATATTGATAGCATCAATGTCCTACGTATTTTTAATAATGTTCGTATGTTAATCTAATCATTTGCATGATACGGAGGGTTGTACGTAAGAGTTAAAAGTGAAAAGAAAAAAAAGAGAATCGAGCGCGTCAGATTTTCTAAGGGGGTGAGTGCAACAAAAAAAAGCTCTCATTCAATAATCTGACGATTTCGATCTGACGCAAACTCGCGGTCATTATTGTAATGTGCGAAAAAAATTCGCCATTTTGAAATACTCAAGTGCGTCAGATTAAGATAATATATCGTTTATCTTCATGTTCTAGACGTGCTGTCTCATAATCTGACGATTATCTAGAGGGATTCGCCTAATCTGACGAAAAAAATATTTTTTCAATTTTTGTTCAAATCGTTGAACTTAATTAATTGAAAAGCTCAGGAAATAGCATGCAAATGAATAATAATAATAATAATACAATTTCATTACATTACAGTTTGTTTTACAAATTGAGTGCACCTGATCTCATAATGAGATCGTCTTGTGCCTAAATAGTACTAATTAATTAGTGTTTGAACATTTGATATGTGATATATTATAAGCCTAAATAATATAATAATAAATGAAATAAAGAAAATAATCTAAAATTATCAGGAGCTAAGAGACTGTACTAATAATAATAAACATTTTTGATGGACTCTGGGATGTAATTGTAAATTTTGGGGCCATTGAATGCTATCGATTTCTTATAAAGGGTAGAATTAGGACGGGGAATAATTAAATGTTTCAGACCTTTTTGTCTTGTACTGGGAAATCTCTTGGTGTTGCGTTCTATTTTTGTACATGATGTTTTAAATCGAACATTTTACTTTCTTTGAGGTGAAATAAGTGTATGTTTTTAAGTAGAATACTTAATTTTTTATAATCAATTGATTAATTAATCATCATCTTCATCTTCATCTTTATCACGAACGAGTCTCTGTGATCAGCTGTGATCGCGTCCTGGAAACAGAATTCAGAGTGGGGACGAAGTGAGAGAGTAATAGATAGAAAAAAAATGAAAGAGGAATAGAAACTCGCAGAGGGAAATATAGGTATCACACAGCTGCACGCATTAAACTTTATCGACAAATTTTTGTTATTTCGGCTTGCGGAAATCGTCAGATTATATATCTTTCGTTATCCTTGAATTATTTCCTTCAAAATAAAAATAAAATTAGCTAAGCTCGAGAATGTCGAGTGGTCTGGATATTGTCTGCGGAGTTCGAAGAGAAAATCTCGATATTTCATTCGTTTTTCCTCCTCTTTTCTGACGATATTCGTCTCGCCAGCTGAAAATTCCACGATGAATATCGTCTTGCTCTGGTGGCCGAGAAGGACTACATCAGACTTATTAGCTTGAATGAGCCTGAGGGTGGGGAACGAATAGTTCCAATAAATTCGGCCCTTTTTGTTTCCCACAACGGATTCAATATCCCCGTAGCGAAGGGCAACACATAGACCGAGACCGCATATGCTGGACATGTTAATAGCATGTGCATAAGGGTCTCCTGACACCTTGTGTCAGGAACCTCTATAACCATCACGCGACTTCGGTAGACTAAGGATTTGAAGACACCATCCTGGCAAGCCATGATGAACCCCTCAGTTTCCGAATTCAGCCCAGTCGACCTGAGGAAAGCGAAAGTCAGGTGCTTTGATAAGCCAAACTCTTCAATGTTATTGAAAAAGACCCCATGCATTGGCTTATCCATGTGTTTCCGCAGAAATGAGGTGATCTGTGCGGCTTTTATCTGAGCTTCCTGCTGAACGGGTAGCAACTCGGTGACAGAGTTGTGATCACCTCGTTCAGTGTCGAAAACTAAACCGAGTTCATCAGCAGCTGCCCTAAAGAGAGATGCTCCAAATCCTGCTCTCTCATTTTTCACGGACCATGCAGAGAAGGGAATCCGAACTCCTGAAGAATTTACAGGCCATATCCATTTGGAATGCAAACTCCTATAGAGATGCATCATTTTTCGGGTCTTTACGTCGAGTTGATACAGCTCCTCACGAGTTCACTTCACTACTCAGTTACGTTATCCGTAAAATTTTAGAAAAACTCCTACAAGGTAGGCAACCAGAAATACATTTCAATTATCTTTCATATCGCATACGAGAGCTGCTGCCATCATCGATGAAACGAGGAAACCTTTTGTTTGTAGCGATAGAAACTATCGGGTACAAAAAAGGGATTGGAGAGTTTTTTTTTATTCAGAAAATGGCTCGAATGTCTTGAACGCTGAATTCTGTCGATTGCATATTTTACGCTTTAGGTGGTTTTAATTGATAAGTGTTCCTTTCGACAGTGATATTTGGTTGAATAATTCGTCGGATTAGATTATCAACTGTCGATTTGTCTCTACGGAGGATTTTAGATATCAGTCCTTTTTTTTGGTGGAAAAGGAAGTCAACGTCTCGCGATTATTAGGGAATCGGTAATCGGAGGTGAGTTCTTATAATTTCACTTAGTTGAATAGGTTTCCTATATTTCATACAGCTCAAATTTCTGTAATAAAATCACTACAATCATAAATATGATTTTCTAGGCTTTAACCCCATATATTGAAATCATCTCGAGGAAATAAAAGTTACTCGGAAGAGAATATATTTCATTCGCTGGTCGCAATACCGTAATATTCATGGTCGCTTTCTAAGAATATAATTAAGGGAGTGAACACCCGTTCCAGGAAGTGCAGTACTCCGCACAATCCAGAAATCTGGCTAAGTACCGCATAGCGGAATTTGTTCTTGATCATTTAGGTATTTTGCTTTCCGTAACTTCCACGGGCCAATATCTACATTTAGTAATTATCAACGGGGAATTACTCTTAGCGAATATTGTTTGAATGTTTTCTGTCATTTGTATTAGTTATGTAAGTTTTGCGTGATGTCTTTAGGGGACTGGACGAAGACTTAGGTACAATACAGATCTCATCCACTCCTCTTCTTCCCTCTCATGAGAGTTTTCTAAGTGCACGAAACCATTTTAAATCTTGTTTTATTCATTATATATTTATAGATAAGCCAGTATATAATATATTTTATTGTTACCTGCCAAAGTTCATTATCAATTGGTTACTTTTTAGAGTAGATCTTATAGATTCAATTTCTCTAATTTCTTTATTTTGAATCAGGGTTAAATATTTGAATCTATTAGCTCCAGTTAAAGTGACACCTAGTATTTCAGGATCTCACCCCTCTCTCCCTGTTTTTTTTGTACAGTTCAAAGCTGATAAATTACGTAACGAGTAGTGAAATTGGCGCCCAACGTGGGGCTCGAATAAATCTTTTTGGCAGTATTTCCAGGAAATGTATGGTTATTCGAAATTTTTCAAAATCATTAATTCGAAACGGTAGATCCTAATAAGAACAAAAAAAGAGGTTGTTTGTTTTTATTTCAAGTACCTACCTTGATTTTATATCGAGTTAGAAAAATAAGCATTCTATGTGAAAGATACTGGCTCGTTGGAGTATTATTTGGTCAATTTTGTTTCTAAAAGTTATTTCAATAGTACGAGAGCTTCAATAAAATTTAATTTTGGTATTTTCCTATTTTACCGTGTATATAAATTTCATGTTTGAAAATGGATTGTTCAAGACTAGTTCGCGATGAATTGATTTATGAACTCAACGTTAGGGGTTATTTAAATACAGCGGGAGAAACGGTCAGGTAGATGCGTGATAAATTGAAAGAATTATCGGAGAAAGATGAATTCGGAACAGTAGAGTATCACGCCTCCTTTAGTCCGAATCCCAGGGATGAAATAGATGTTTGTAATAGAAAAATAATTGCTTTGAATGACTTTTTGAACTCTCGTCCCAATGTTGAACAGAAAAGTAGTGATGCCAGATATTTAGAGGCGAAGCTCAAACATCTCTTTGCGCGATTGGAGAGAGTGAAAGTTCCACAAAATGATAAAGAATTAGCTAATGCAAAAACCAATGTTTTTCGTCAATTATCTAGTTTAGAGGAACACTTCGATGCGACGTTAATTACTGCTGTTACTGATAATGTAGTACCTATTCGTGATAATTTATCTTCTGTACAGTTAAATAATAGTTATAAACCATCCTCTACTCCTGTTCATAAATGGAATAT